TTGGCTGATTATCTCAGTATCTCAGTATCCTATCACAGTAGGAAGTTTCAAGTCTTTTCTTGTTCAAATATATTATTACTTACTTACCACTTTTTCCTTAATTCTCTGTTTTTTTTACTTCAGCCACTGGATCTTCCTGCTGATGTCCTTTTGATGGCTGATTTATTTATTTCCCACAACATCCTCTAATACTGCTTTATAGTTATGACTACACCATAGGGTGAATCTTGCTAAATTATTACTTCTTAGCAGTCATCCTTTCAGGTAATATATTAACAGTTTAACAGCCTAAGTACTTCACAGCACAGAAAATATCCTTCTGTTATTTTGCTTAGCATAGAAATATTAAAAAAAATAAATTTGAAATAGTTCTCTAACAGATTTCCTGTTATAGAAGCTTTTCATATTGTGCACCTTCAAAACATCACCAGATAATTCTTAATGTGTTTGCTTTAGTACCATCAATTTTTTTTCTTAAGTTATAAAAACATTCCTCTTGCCTTTATTTCTTCTTTGAGTCATCATAGTCTATGTCTGACACTTTTAATGATAGGAATCATTGTAAAAGGATAAAGTTGTAACAACATAGAGCAGCTGTGGGTGCATTTGTTGAAAAAGGTGACTTGCAGCCAGATATTTATAGAAATAAGACAGTGTTGCAATGTGTTTTTATCTCAATATATGTGAAATGTCATTACTAATTCTTGTCAGTCGATACAGTCAAGAATGAGATAGCAAGATCCGATATTTTCAGAGCTAGATTTTAAAACATTTATTGTTTCACCACAGTAGATTAAAATTGAAAGTTTATAAACATTAGAAAATGCAACAGAAAAAAATGAATGTCCATTCCATTTCCCTAGGGCTATGAGAATAATGTTTATTTCAAAACTAAAATATAATTCTGATGTTTTTATTCTGTGAATAGTTGTTGAAAAGTGAGTTTTTAAAATGTATGTCACAATCCTCTTTTTGACCTGTATATTTTAAGAAGAAACAATGTTATTTCTGGGACACACTGTGGCTCAGAATGGTCTGTGATCATGTTAAGGAAAAAAGGAATAGATTTTTTAATTACAAGTATCTTTACTGTCAGAATCCTCTTATAACATACTGTCTTCCTTATGCGGTCTTTCAGGTATCAAAATATTGAAGCACTTCTTCCTCCTCCACTTGTTGAACACTAGCTATAATCCACATCCAGAAAAATATCCAAACCATAACCTTAGTTGAACAGTAATGAATTTTTATTTGAATTATTGTACTGTTGGTGAGTCTCTAAATGAGCTTTACCACCAGGTTAATAGTTAATTAGGTGAATTGATTGCTCCACAAAAGAAACAACATTTTCTTGAAGGAAAATTATGATAAACGAATAGGTAAATGTAGACAATTTGAACAAATTGTAATTATCTACTGCTATGTACCTCTGTGTATAAGGGAATGATTATTTTTAATGACTTTTCTACTTTTCAGTGATTATTTAGATATTATTTAGTCCTATTTCCTCATTGCATACTGCAAATTATATCCTTCCACAATGATGGCATTATAATTAAGAAAAGAAGTCACATTCATATTATCCTTTGTATATTTTGACAAAGCACAATTAAAAAACTTTCTGTGGGGAGCAATAAAATAAAGGAAAGAAAATGTCCTAGCAAATATTTCCCTTTTGGTATCCCCTGTTAATATTTTTATGAGTCTCTTAAGCTTATCTAAGAGATTTTTAATGCAGCAGGGTATGTTATTAGGTTTGTATTTTTTTCCACACTATCATACATTTCAGTCTTTATCACAGTGGGAACAATAAAATAACAGACCACAATGCATTAGCATCATAAAGAAAATGTAATAAATGGCTTTATAACTGTAGTAAAAGTTGCATGAGCACCAGCAGCTGTAACAGAGATGTTGCTACAGCAGCATTTTATGACCTAATAGCACTCAGTGGGCTGATAATATTATGTGTGTGTGTGTGTGTGTGTGTAATGCCAGCAGTTTCCCAGGCCTAGATTTCAATTCAGATAAATAATTGAAAGCACTTTTAGACTTTTCCATAAAATGTTTAATAAGAGATCAAATCCTCCCTCCCTGTAGTGGAAAATTAAATAGTTTTTACAGGGATGTTTTATGATGAAACTCTATTATTAGGAAGACATGGTATTTGTTTTATTATTTTTTTTAAATGTGGTTGTTAGAACTAAAATATGTTTGAAGGAGCTCTTGTTTGCTTTGTTTCATAGTACTGGTAGTAGAGAATGGTACTTGTTTTTACACTTGTTTACCATTTCCTGATATTTGGAGACAAGGACCACGATAATAACATTTACTGAATTACTTGGAATTATAATAATCATGACAATGTGCCTGCATTTCTAGAATGAGAATATTCTGTGTGGTTTTGTTTTTTGTTGTTTGTTTTAAGAGGATTTTGGAATTGCTTAATTTTCTCTGTTTCTTATGGGAATAGCTTATTTTATAAAAGGTGAAAGAAAGTGTGTGAAATATGTATATTAAATTAACTAATGTCTTGAATACTTTTGTTTAGCACAACAACCTGCTCTTTCTGTCTCGCTGTTTAAATACTTATGTAACAGATAATACAAGACTACTTGTTTGCCAAAGTTCTCCTTCTTGGGCTTGCTTGCTTGCTTCATTTACATGATCTTAAATCATCTTTCAAAATTATGAATCTGGAAAAATTTGAAAACTATGGATATTCTGAGGTCTCACATTTCTCACTTGGAAGCTTCTTTATCCTCTGTATTTTGCAAAATTTAAAAGCAGGTGGTGAAACATAAATCCTCCAAACATTATTGCTTTTCCTTGTGTTTCATCTTCACCCAAAGGAAAAAAAATCTTATGGTTTATAACAATGAACTTTGTCAGTATAAAATTAAATCACTTTAAAATAAATTTATATTTGGACTTTAGGAAGGCTGAAAATACTCAGGTAGAGGATAATGCCTCATGAAGCAGAGAGTAGAGAGAAAGAAGGACAAGAGGACATTTGGAGGTCAGAGAAGGGAGTTGAAACATACACACTGAATTATTTTTGAAAGTATTGCTGTAATGCGTTTCGGAATTTTTATATTATGAATGTTATAATAGATCATCTAGATCCTCTGAAAGGACTTCTTTATTATTTTAAATCTAAATTAATTAATGCAGCAATAAAAAAGAATGGAAATATAAGTTTTAAAAATTTATCTCTCTAATGAAAAATCCACAGAATTATTTTTGGAGGGGTCTAATACAGAGTCTGGGGGGGCACGGTAATTCCCTTGTCTTAATCAGATATAAGTAGGTAGGAGCTTATATCATCACAGGCAAGTCAGCTGAATTTTATTTTTAATGAGATATTCAACCTTTAAATTGAGACATAATTTAAGCTACATATTTACCTTTAACTGTTTTCTTTAATCTCATTTGGTGAGAAAAAATGGATGCTCTGTCAACTTGGTATTGTGTTTAATAGCAAAAGTAAATGAAAAGTCAAGCTGTGATTTAGTTGACTTACTTTTAATAGAAAAGCATCTTCTGTTGCTGACAGGCTCTATGAAGCACACTTGAGAAGAAAGAGCCTTATCCCAGTGAAATTTTGTTTCTCTTGCAACAGTACAAGCTACAACTTTTTTAGGATTGCCTTAAGAGTCAGAGATATCTCTACACTTACAGGCCTTCCAGCACTTTGTCCAAGATCACTTGTTACTTACACAAAATGGAAACTAAGAAAAATGGCCAGCTTGCTCTGACCTTGTCACCTTCTCCTGAGACATAAAAACCCCCTTATGCAATTGTTGCTTTTTAAAATAATCTATATGCTAACTTATAGGTAGAGGCAATGAAAAATATTAACTTTTTCTATCAAAAAGTGGGAGGTCCTGCTACATAACAGAAGTAATAAATAGTATAAAACTGGAACATGCAAAAGATTTCTAACGATAAGGTAACACAAACCTGCAATTTCTGTTGATTGAACTGTAAAAACTGAACACTAAATATCAATATTTCTCCAGCTAAGTAAATTGGATGAACAAAGGTTTCACAATTGAAGTCAGGTATTTAAATTAAATTTTAGAATATTTCAAATACAATGGTTGAAAGGATTTACAAAGGATGTGGTAAGTGGTCTGTTATTCAGATTAGGGCTCTCAAGTTTTGTAATAAAGGCTATTTCCTCAAAAGAAGTTTATCTTATTTTAATGGCTACATATGTAAATATTACCAATTCAGTTTACTTACATATAATTAAATAAATATTCTTGTGTCTTCTCAGAGAGCTAAAAGACCTAATATAGCTAAAGGCATAAACTGAAAAACACAAAATGACCTTAGGAAAACCCCACATAATTAGTAGCTTACTTGCACCCATTTTTTTTCCTCACTTTCTGGCTTATTTTCAATCTGACCCTAAGCACAATATTTGAAGGCAATGCTGTCAGGCTTTTTGTTTTTTTGCTATAAAGTTGCTGTTAAGGTTAAATTTTCTTGGGCTGTGCACAGCATTTCATATTGTTAACTACTGCTAGCTTTATATAGGTAAATTTCTTGTAAGTGTAATCTTAAAGAAGCAGATATGAATGGTTTTATTTAAAATTCCTTTGTAAGCTATCAGACGAGTAATCTTTCTGTCCTTTGGGAGCTTCTGCACCATGAGCATTAAACTGATCCTTGCCTTCACCTATTTTCCATCTGAAACTTGGTTCCCTTCTCCTTTTTCAGAGCTTGACTGTAAACCAAGGTGTTCCTGCAGCAGTTCATACCTTGTGGGTTTGGAGACAGAGAAAGTGATTGGGAAGTCTCAGAAGAGATTCTTTTAAAGCTGGTGGACTGTACAAGAGAGAATAAACAGATCCTGATAAGAGAATGAAGTCTCCACAGAAAATATTTTACACCCCCAAAAAGCACTTAATATACATGTCTCTTTCTCAGCCTTAGTCTCTACTAACAGAGACAAATCAAACTACAACTAGCAACAAGATATGAAGGAATACATACACTCATTATCTCACTCAGTTATGCCCCAAACCCTAATTTTCATACCAGCTGCAGATTTTGATTTACAAAATCTCTTATGGTTACTATCTTGGTTTCCTTAGAAACCACCTTAGACTCGCACTCCATGTTTTGTAAGAAAAAGGCCAAATCACCTGAGGTTTTTTTTTGGATCCTGGATGTTGTCTCTGAAGGTACTGATGGCAGAGCTGTTTTGATGGACAGCCCTTACAGCAGGTAATTTTTTTTCTGGACGGATTCATTTTAATAACGGTTCAAGCATGCTTTGCCATAACTCTATCTCTATAATTGGGTTTTACCTAACCAGGCTGTTCATAGAATTGATGAAGTTCAATTTGCTTGACAATGGCTGGTACTTTGTATATATTTATAATGGTCCATTTGCCCCAGAGTAACTAATAAATTAAGCAATGAAGATATTTTCATTTATATCTTGATGAGTCTTTGTATTTTATTTCGGTGTTGTTGATTCTTTTCGTTAAAAAAAAAGGATATTTGATATGGCAGGGTTCAAATGTCAAGGCCTACAATATTTGGCATATTTGGGGTAAATAATCTGGAAAAAAACAAAGTGACCAACTGTGCCAATGCTAATAAACTGCAATATAAGACTCTGTGGAACTGCTGGTATATTCATGATACTGAGACAATAAAATGACAGACAACATTCAGTGTCCAGAGACAAAAATGAAATCTGTGGAAATGCTGTTTTAGGGAAGGGCTGTGCGCTTAGAAAAGACATTTTTTCGGTTTCATTTTTCTATTCTGTAGCAAGATCAATTTGTTGCTGGGTGATATTTAACAAAGCAAAAGGTAGCATTTACAAGGAGTGGGATAGAAAATGTTATTATGGTCAAAATACTGTGCATCACTTTGCAATTACTGCCCATCTTGGACCTATAAGCATAATGTTCCTGGAATGATAGAACTGGAAAAGATGTGGAGGGAGATGATGAAGGTGAATGAAAGATGCAGAGAGATTACATACTGCGGAGAAATATTCAGGGATCTTCAGTCTGGAAAATAAGTTACTAAATTAGATATGATAGAAATCTATACATCATGAGCAATATAGATATTAGAAACTATTGTAGGTTTTTTTTTTTTTTAATTTGAGAAAGAGGAATATAAATTGAAATTATCAGACAGCAGAATCAAAGCAACATAAGGAAGTACTCCACACTGTGCACAGATAAGCTGCAGCGATAGCCAGCTGCAAAGTGTTGCAACTCTGACATGAGACACTGCAGATGCCAAATAAATGCGTGTACAAAATCCCAGTAAGGCCAAGTTGTTTAAGGAAGATCATCTAAGACTCCAAAAACACAAGACAGCCACATTCACCCCAGGAAATACAGACTGCTCAAAGCTGGGAGGACATAGTAAGAAGTATCTCTGGATGTGTTCCTTGTTTGTATATTTTCTTTAAGTGTCTGTAGGATGTAGAATCTCCTGAACCTTTCATCTTATCATGGTGTCCAATCTGATTGTCATATGCTCATATTAATGTTGCCCTTTGTTGTGTGTGACTTCAAGGCTTTTGTTTTTTACTTTCCCTCTTTAAAAAGCAAACAATCTGTGTGAAATTCCATAACACATTTTTAAAGAAAATGGGGTAGCTTCAATTTGTTTTGTTTTGTGTGTTTTTCTTTCTTACAACAAAGATTTTGTTTTTTTAAATTACATTTCTCTCTATGATTACTATTCAGACTGATGCTCGTTTACTCTGGCAGGAAAAAAAAGGACACATTAATGTGTCATCTATTTTGTCTAAAACCTGCTAAATTAATTGAGAACTACCGTCACTGAAGCAGAAAATAAGGTTGAATTTGAGTAATGAATGATGCCTGGCTAATGATACTAAACACCATTAGAGCAAGATACTTTTTTTTCAACATAGGCTGATTGGGGAGGGGGCTGGAGTTGGCAGGAGGATGCAAGACTAAGTGAGAAGAATGTGTTATTCACAGCAGAGAGTAAACACTGAAATTTTAGAAAGAAGTTACAAAGCAAGAGAATCAAAGGAGGTCAGAGGTAGAAAATAAAGAAGAATAAAACTAGGTGAAAATTGGGAATTTTACATAAATCTTTGGCATTGTAAAAAACATCATTATGCCAGCTATATTTTCTCTCTCAATTTTCACATGTTTAGGATGTATGTTGACCACAAAATCCTGGTCAAAATCCCACTTTACAGATTGGGACAACATCAGAAAGTCAATGCTAAGCATCCTTTCTTTTTTTTTCTTATCATTCACAGGATGGTGGGAAAATCTTGCATATAGTTGTCGCTGAAAGTTTTAGAAAAAATGTAAAATAACAGGACTGACTTTTCAAGTGTCATGTTTACCTACAGTAGGTGTTTCAGTTGGACAAAATTATTCTTTCATGTGATGAGATACAACCTTTTTCAGGTGTTATGTGATGGACATGACAAGAATGAAGTATTCTAGCTTGCTTAACTTCTGTACACCATCCTTTCAGTTTTTAAACTTTTAAGTCACTCATTTCAATGCTTTTCTGACTCCAAAAGGCTGATGAAAAGATGAACTGCATGTTTGACAAATTAACTCCCTTTATGACATTATTTTTCTTCTTATTTTCCCTGAAGAGTCTTATGTCTTTAAAAGCAGACTTGAACTGCCATATCCAGAATGAAGTGACCTAGAAGCTGATGTGAAATAAAAGAGTTTTCTTCTTAATTAGTGTTAGAAAAATTACCCAAACTTTAAAAAGTAGTCTTTGCTACTGTATTCCTCCTGACCTCTTCCCCCCAAGGAGGCAATGAAAACTCTGGGCTTTTATCATGTAGGACCAGTATTGTTTCCAGTATCTTGTGCATATAATGAGTTAGCACCACAGATGTCTTTCATTTCAAACCTGATGCAGTCACAGCATAGAAATATTTGAATATCTGCTCCCTCTTTGGCTTAAAATTAGGTAGTTAATTTTCAGTCTCATTAGTTAGCTTAGCTCTACAGAGACTGACAAGACTGCAAAATGCTGCTTGGGTGACTGTAACTGAGCTGACCTTACTCTCACTCGTGTGTAGCACTGCATGTTCTGCAGACAAAATGGTCTTTCACACTGCAGCAGAGAGAGCCTCACAGGACTCCCTCCCTCTGATCTCTTGATTAACTTGTCTGTACACTTGGGTGCAAGATGGAGACTGTGAAACGGGACAGATAGGCTGCAGATTTACTAAGACAACAGTCCACGACTTGTGCTGATTTGATTGAAATCCTGCTCACACTAATGGGCTAGGTAGCTGCAGCACTGTTACATTAAATTTATAACTCATGTTATATTGTGCATAGGACCTGATTAAATGTACTAATTCTTTTTAGCTTCTGATTGTTCTTGCTTTCAGTTAGCTAAATATTTTAAATATTGAAAACATCCAAAACCATAAATTATTATTTTAATATTAGAGATCTTTCTTCTCCCTTCCATGGATTTTACTCTAGAGTTGTTAATGAAACCACTATAGAAATTACTTCTATTTTATATCTGTAAGAGCAAGGAGATTAAGACAACTGCAACAACTTTGGCTTACATAAGATCGAAGTGCTTGACCTGCACTTCACATAATTTTCCTCCCTCATCTATAGAATAAAAATAGACCATGTAAGTGCCTAATAACTAATATACTGTGTTATAAACCTCCTACAAAACAAGTAAAAAGAAAACACACTTGTCATTTTGCTGAAGCAAAGAGCACCAATGTGAAAATTATGTAAACTTTGGGAACTATTTGGCTCATACATAAGGATTGATAGGAATTTAACTATGCAAAAAAAGTGAAACATAGGATTCATGTATAACCTACCTTGAGTTTCCAGGGTAATGAATCTAATTATTTTGTCCTGTGGATGTTTTCACTTTAGGACAACCTTGCAGCTTTTTTGCCTTTCTCTAGCTACACACTATCATAAAAATTTTAGGCATGCTTTTGTCTCATAATACCCTACTAATTTCATTCAGCACAAAAGAATGGGAGAGCATCCTTTTGTGTATTTCTCACTTAGTTGTTCATATTTTATTGTGAACAGGAAAGGAGGTGTTGAAAAACACTGTTATGACACTCAGTTATCGTTCAAAACAGGAATGTATTATTGGCTTGGGAAAGCAGTCTTGGATGACAGGATGTCTGTTCTCTTTAGGTCCAAAATTAAGCTGTTGTCAAAAAATTAATAAAGCCCACGAGAATTTTTGAAGCAGAATTGTTTATGCTTTGTAAAGTCCTTTATATACCAAATGCTCATTAAGATAAAATGATAGCACCTGCAACTCACTGAACATAATTTACATTTTTACTTCATATATTTCTTGTTTAGTTTCAGTTTTATCCTAATTAAAATGTGGGCCAATATCCATGAGTATGGGGTAGAAGGGCAGTGATGCAGAGCAATGAGCCCAAGGCCACTGATGCGTGGCATGGAGCTGGGGACACTGATGTGAGACATAAGTGAGACAGCCTTATGGAGCAGCCTAGAGAGGCTCCAGGGAGAAATGATACGCTAGAAAATGTTACTGAAGTCCTGTAGTCTGAAAATTACTAGGGGAAGACAGATGGATAGGATGACCGATAAAGGACAGAAATCTGTAAAATGGCTGATTTGAGAGAACTGGTAGGCTGAGTATATCAGAAAAAAAATTCAAAACATGGAAGCCCAGTGGAACAAAAGGCAAGTGCTAGGAATCACTGAAGTACAGAACAGTAAGCTTTCCAAAAGCTTGATTAGCAGAGCACAGTTATTGCTTTGACTATGAGGGTCAGCCAAAGCAAACTTTGAAACTTAAATATCACTCATGGTAGCCAAGAGGTTAAAATACGCATCCTGTGTCAGGTCAGAAATGATAGACCGTAGAGAAAGGATTGCACCCTTATTTCCATAAGCAGCTGTAGTGTGCTCAGCCATGGTTCTCCTGGCAGACCTCACTCTGTTGCACACAAGTGGAGGTGAACCATGTGGCCTCAGAAAGCACTTGGTGGCTACAGAGGGAGGCTCACAGTCCAAGCAGGTCTGTGTGTGGTGCCCTACCCTTTTGGAGGTCGCCGTGCTGCAGACCCCACTGTGCCAAGTGCCCTTTGCATTCAGCTCAGTGCCCGTGCCAAGAAGCTGATTCAATTAGCCTGTAAGGAGCTGCATGCTGCTGCAGCTATTCTGCAGTGAGAGCCCGAACTATTTCATTTGCATATAGCTTCACTTCCA